GAACTTTCAAACAATTTCTGATACAACTGCGTCTGCAACCGTTGCGCTCTCATGGTTAGGAATGGGTATTGCGCCCGCAAGTTTAGTGAGATCGCAAATATATGTTAAGAGGTATTTATTTTCCGACTCTGAAATTGAATACGGACTACATATGTCAATGCAAACTTTTTCAAAAGGTTCTCTAGCGGTAGTTGTAATTACTAAGGCTTGTTTAGTTAATCTAGATATTTTATTTTTTTAGCATTCCCTGCATTTGTTGACGTACTCTTTTATTTGTTTCCGCATATTTGGCCATTTATAAATATTTCTAATTCTATTAAATGTTTTTTTTAAGCCTTAAATGTCCTCCCGCTGGTTGAGATTTATAAAACTGTTCTAAAATTTTATATATTTCCTCATGGTAAATTTTAACTTGTATATCAGTTTCTAAGGAAATGTGACAAAAACTTTTAAATTGAATAGGAGAAGGAATAGCAATTAATTTTATATTTTGTTGAATTAAATATGTTCTTAAGTTATATATGCAGTGGAAAAAGTCTTCGAGTGAAGGTTGAGAGTTCATATTATTTACAATTGAATAAAAAACAGGCTTTTGACCGAAATTCATGGTGAAATATTGATGCTTTTTATATTTATAGAGATATTTGTTTAAGTTCGTATGCTGAAAGAAATCTAAGTAATTGTTAAATTTTTCGTCGGATAGTTGATTTTTTATTACAAATAATAAGGCATTTTCTTTGTTTGCAATAGAAGTTAAAAATGTTTCAAAAGATTATTGGATGTTATTGTTAATTATAACCAGTGGTGTTGTCGAGCCGGAACGTCGTTCCGGCAAATCATTTTTGGGAAGGTACGCCTTCCGGCAAGAAAAAATATAAAAAAATCGCTACATACAGAAATGATTTAATATGTAATTTTTATAAATTATTATTCAACTAATTTTTATTAAATGTTCTTATTATTGTAATAAACATACATATATGTGCACACAATGGGTTTTGTAATAATTTTTGTTTCTTTCCTTTTCGAACGGAACCGGAAAAAACATGAGAACCGGTTTATGAACCAGTTCCTTAATTTTAGCGTTCCGACAAAAAAATATTAGCACAACACCACTGGTTTTATCAAAGTCGTTTTTAATTTAGTTACAAATTGAGGTGTATGAACTGAAATATTAATTACAATACAGTGGTGTATTTCAAATTTAACATATGTTACTTTAAGACCAAAAAGTGTCTGATGCCCGATTATTTCGGATATAAGTTGGACTTGTTTCGGACATAGCGGGCGGTAGTCAAATAAAATAAATAATTTAAGACATTCATATAATGGAAATTGATTATAGCGAAAAAAGCAATTCTATAAATACAAAAGCATAAGAACTGCAAAAAATGTAATATTTTAATAATTGGATAAATTTTTTGCCATCTAAGGCAAAAATATAAACTGTTCGATCGCTTGTAAATTTTTACAATCCAACATTTATTGTTAATTTTTTTTAATCATTGTTTTATTGACATTTATTTATTGGTAAATTAGTTGACAATTTATAGCAAAAGAGTTACCCTGATATTTCAATAGACTTATTGTCTAAATTTCATCCTACAATTTGAGATACGTATGCATATTCCTAGAAACTTTGATCTTATAAAAATCTGATGAAGGTGCTGTGGGATTGATGATCACTCAATTATTGATAGTAGATTAAATTAACCTGGTAGTAGATTAAAGAATTGTACTCCTAGACTAGTAATTCCCAACGTGGGGCACACGCCCCACAGAAAAATCCATTTTTAAATTCAAAGGGGGTAGGCAAATTAAAAAATTACACGACTTTAACCCACTTGCTTTGGGTGATTTGAATGTAATTTGTAATACTGTTGAAAATTCGTTAAATATATTATGATCATTGTTTAGTTTAAGTGAGCACAGGATGCATGTGCAAATCATATAATTTTTCCATACATATTTCCAGAGCTCAGGTAAATAAGCATCCCTTTTTAGGTCTAATGCAAACTTTCTCAATATTACGGATTATAGAAAAATTCCAAATTCTGTATGTATTAGTCTGTATATTTATAAATTGCCATCCCTTCCAGACAGCGGTATAATAATTTTTATATAATGTTTTTAAATTTAGAATTTTTAGAATTCAGTAAGTTGCGAGACTACGAACATCTTAAGAAAATCAGCTCGCACAAGTTACTCAAACATTTAATAAAATTTATAGTTCTATGTCTATTGTCGCACAATGCACACAATCGTTTAAAATTAATAATTAATTTTCTATTAAGTGATAACGGCAAAGGCAGCAGTAAGGTGTAATCGATGCCTTAACGGATATTTTGGATATTTTAGATATTTAATACCGAGATAAAAATTCTTATAGAAAAAATAATATTTATAAATTAAATCTTATATTCATTCGCATTTCTTATACGCTAACACCTACATCATTGGTTCCTATTCGTGTATTTTTATAGCCTTTTGTATGCCTATACGTTGCATTCTATACTACACGCCTTACATCTATACCATACGCTATATTTCATCACATACTCTAAAAATCCCTATTAATTACCTAATTAATTAGAAAATGACCCGCGGAAACAACAGTGCGTCCCATATTATATTATTAACGAGGTTACCCGATAGGGTAATGGTTAAGGTGCGCGACCGCCACGCGGATGTCTCGGGTTCAATTCCCGGTATAGCCAATAGATAGGTAGAGATAATACATAGGGCGTAAGATAAATCTATGTAATATAGGTAAATATATAAATTAGACAGTAATATTTATAATAAGTAAAAAGTATGTAGGTATATAATAAGTTAATGACTTTTAAGTATCTCACGGTATGATTGATAATAGATATCTACCTATGATATACAATAATATAGTATAGTAAGATAGGTAATAGGTTATCTATCATATTATTAGGTTAAGTCTTATAAAGTATTGTAACAAATCTTGAGTACTTTTATATCATAAATACCTGTAAGTATTAGTGAAGACAAATAATACCACAATAAATTTAATTAATGTTATTAAAGAATATAAATTATGTACTCAATGATTCCCTCATACTTGTACAATTTAATTTATAGACTAGCTGTATATAATAGAGTTAATTATATAAGAAATCAATATATTAGATTTGTGAGTTCTTATCGAAATATATCAAATTTTTTGAACCGGATTTTAAATTTTAGCGTTCCGGCAAAAAAAATATTAGCATAACACCACTGATTATAACTGATGAACTAATGATATTTAAACAATTTTCAAACTTAATTTCTTGATCTACGCGGCATTTACGTAAAAGTGACATTTGGACTGCATTGTCAGAAATATCATTATTAGTAGTATCTAAGGCTAGTTTTTGTAAATTGAGGAAAGATCTAGATAAGCTATCGGCATTGGTGTTAGATTTTCCTGATTTATAAATTATCTCAAATTCGTATTTCTCTAGGGAAAGTCTCCAGCGCATCTGTCGAAAATTAGGATTTTTGCATTTATAAAGATAGATGAGAGTGATCTGTATATAATTTAAAGGGTTTGCCATATAAATAAGGTCGAAAATGATTTATACTCCAGACTATGGCTAGAAATTCTTTATCTAATGCGGAATAGTTCTTTTCGGCTGAATGCAAAGTCCGAGATGCGTACGCAATAGGCAAATCAACTTTTTGCGATAAGATTGCGCCTAATGTAAAATTGCTGGCGTCGATAGTTAAAAAAAACTCTCTGTCAAAATCAGGATATTGTAGTGATTAGCCTATTTTTTAATTCGTTAAAAGCTTCCTCGCACTTATCAGTCAGCGTCAGGTTTTTTTGGAACTACAATTGAGGGAAAATTTCAAGGACTTTGAGAATTTTGAATGATATAGTCGTCTAACATTTGCGTTACTTGTTTATGAATTTTGTGTTTGTGGAAATGTGGTAGTATATATGGCTTAACGTACATAGGTTTGTCATTGTTGTCAACTATATGTATGATGTGCATAATTGTGTCTGTATGTGAAAGTTTATCATTTTCCAAATGAAAATGATCTTGAAAATTTTTACAAGTATTTAATATTGATTTTTTTCTAGTTTCGTCATGTGATTCGTTTGGATGCATTTTAAAACTTTACTTATTCTTTGATTTTTATCGTCGATTATTATTTCATTATTTTGAACATTGTTGAATAAACATTTGATATCGATTGTTTCTTTATTTAAGTTGTCTTGATTTAATGATTTTGATACTTGATTTATATTTATAGAGTCGATAATTTCATAATTATTCAACGGTTGAAAAAGCACCTCATCCGCACTAAGGAATTGATCCTTAGATGTTGGATTCATTACACTTATAATGAAACAATTATCGATTGTCTTCACAACACTATTGGCTAATATTAAAACATTATTAAGTTGTTTTGATAGACATAAAGCGTCTTTGGTTAATTTAGTATCTATTTTTATTTTCATTTCCGATCGCGAAGGTATTAAATTTTTTTGATGATTTACTAATGGCGTTGTAATTACTTGATCATTGAATTGTAGGGATAGTGAATTTGAATCGTGATTAATATTTGCTTTAAATTTCATCAACAAATCTTTACCGATGGTGCCAGAATATTATATAGGAATATTTGATATTACTTGAAAAGGATGTGCTATAATTTGATTTGAAAATTTAAGCTTAATATTAGAGACACCATGGGTGAAAAGTGAATTTGCCGTGATTTCAATTAATTCAATTTTTTATCGGGATATACAAGAGTATCTTTGTCTATAGCATGAAGTGTAATTAGTGAAATATCACTACCGCTATCTATTAAAAAAAATTAAAATTATTTGACATGTTTAACAATTGAAAAATTACAGAATCACAGGTATTATTAAAATTTAATTTAGAATCTTTGCTTACAAAAAATGCCCGTCCCGGAACGGGCCTGCTCTCCCCATATCAAGGGCGGGGCCCCATATCAAAATTGGTTTGGGAGCCCCCTTAAAGATTTTTCATAATCTAAAGAAACATAAAAAGATTAATAAATTCATTTAAAAAAATTAAAAGAACATTTATTTATCAAATTTTCAAATATACATCGAATATTATTCTTAATATTTTACAAGTAACTAAAATTAAATATTCACTCTCCTTGCCTTTTTATCAGCAAACTGATTTATTAAATCATTTATAGCTGATGATGTTTTTAGTTTTTCTAATGTTTCTGCTTCTATGGACAATAGAGACAGGTCTGATAGACGTTCCTGTTTTATTTATGTTCTGAGGTAGTTTTTGATCAATTTTAATTTTGAAAAACTCCTTTCAGCAGTTGCGGTTGTAACTGGAAGGGTCAAGAATAAAATACAAGCTGTTATTACATCCGGAAAACTGGATGCAATACTATTAAATTTTATTAATAATAATTCAGCGAGTTCCTTAATGGAATGAATATTCTCGATTTTTGATTTTAAGCATTCTTTTAGAGCTATCAATTGATCGCAAAGATTACCTGATAGATCTTTGCAGTATTTTGTCGTCAGTTTTCCGGAAGCAATTATTATTTCTTCATTTGAAGAAGACATGAGTTTTTCCGGTTGCAATATTCTGAACATACTATTTACGTCAGAAAGGTTTTGAAACCTTTGTTTTGTTTGAGAAATTAAAATATCTAAACAGCAATAGTACACGTTTACTTTAAAATATGATTCAGGGTCTAAAATTCTCTCGTCCTGTGATAACTCATCGAAAAATCGCTTTGTTATCTTCCGCCTCTTGTCTTTAAAAATTGTTTTTATATTCCAATCCTTTGCTAAATCCTTAGTATTCCTTAACAAAATAATGAATGAATTTTTATGCCTCAATTCGCGCAGACTCTTCAAAAGATTTCCTAATAGTATGCTAGTTTGTTGTAAGTCATTACTCACATCCTGTAGAGCTTTCGAAATTGGATTAATAATTTGAAACAATAAAGAAAAAAATGTTACGAGCACTAAAAAATCATAGCTTTCTAAAAGGTTAATTAAATTCTTACATTCTTCACGTTCATCTTTTTTTTAGAAATTAAATTTAATTTATACAAAGTTTTTACTATTAATAAATAGTTTTTGCTTATTGCTAATAAGGCGTCGTGCCTTGAAGACCATCTGGTAGGGCATACCCTTTTAAGTGTTACTAAATATTCCTCGGAAGAATCTTGATTTAGCATTGACCAGCGTTGTATGCTATTGCCAAAAAAAGTGTATATTTTTTCTAAATTGTCGAAAAAAGTCGACACTTCACGGACATGTTTTGCGGCATCGTTTAAAACTAAATTCAATGCGTGCGCCGCACAATGAACGTAATCGGCATTTGGAGCATGTTCTTTTATTAGGAATTGCAACCCTCCATAAACACTCGACATAACGTTTGCTCCGTCATAACCCTGTCCTCTACATTTAGTTAAATCGATTCCATATTGATTAAATATACTCAAAATTTCAATTTTAAGTCCTTCGGCTCTGCTGTCATTTACTGCTACAAATCGCAAAAATGATTGACAGATTTTTAATTCTTTAGGCACATTATTACCATCCTCTCCTATCGAGATGTATCGGAAAACTAGAGAAAGTTGGTCAATCTTTGACAAATCTTGAGTTGTATCTAAAATTATTGTTAGAAATGGGGCCTTTTTAATTTCTGAAATAATATTGTTTCTAACTGCGGTTCCTAACAAACTTATAATTTCATTTTGGATCAAAGGGCTTAAATAATTTATTGCTCCCTTTGGGTTTAAAAGAAGTTCTTTCAAAACAGCATCATAATTCGATAGCAAACGCAAAATTGACATAAAATTTTCAGAATCGGAGTCATGGCCTCTTAAAGGTAAATTGCAAGATGCTAATGTTATTATAACATTAATTATACGATGCAATACATCTTTCCAAAATGTAATTTTGCAATTAATTTCACTTGACAATTGAGTATCGATAGTATTTCCTTGCAACCAATTATTATGAGAAAGGGACGCATTAATATGCTGCTGTGACTTTTCATGTTCAAGTAAAGTTTGTGTAAAATTGCTTCTAATAGAAACACCGTTAACCCATGCAGAGGAGTATGATTTACTTCGACGATCCGCTAATAACCAACAAAAGTGACAGTATGGTTTGTTTAAAATATTAGAATAACATAACCATGGTCTTGAAATCTTTATGCCTGCTTTATTAGTATATGAATAATGATAAACGGAAAAAGAACGGTTACTTTCGAGATCTTTGGGAAATGGCCCTTGTGGTTTAAATGGACCTAGTTTAAAAATTGTTTTACGTTCAAATTCCGTTAGATTATCACCAAAACTTCCTCTGTCTGAAGAAAATATAATACTATCTTCAGACATCTCAGAGTCATCGATCTGGTTTTCTTCTATTTTCGGTAAGAATGATGAACAAGTTTCCGAAGTATCTAAAAATATGATAATAATAAGTATCTAAAAATATGATAATAATAAGTATCTAAAAATATGATATTAATAAGTATCTAAAAATATGATAAAAAAATAAGAACGAATGTTTTGATAAATTCTTGTGGTAAAGAATTTTTTCATAGATTTATATTGGCTCGTAATTTGACTTCCAAATACGTTAAGCAAATTGATTGCAATAATTTATTCGCAGAACATGTCAGTAAAATTCATAATAATGCCACTTGAATAATAAATAATACTTATTATTATGAATTACTTAAATTATTCATATAAGCCATCTAAGTCCCAACATTTTTCATAATCATGGCAAAAATACACATTTCATTGCATAAATAGATTGAACGCGAAACGTACGAAACAGACACCAAAATAAATTTTTCTGTATGTACTTCGATATCATTTCCGAATAAAAAATTAATGTTTAGATAAAATTAAAACAATCAAAAATTCGTAACTTACTAACTAATTAAAAATTCGATAAATGTATTTAGTAGTACTTACCATTGGAAATTAAATCAATAGCAGAAGTTGGTGTTTGAAAAAATAAAGAAATTTTTGGCACTTTTTTTAGGACTTCATCTTTTTTCTGTTTAATTTTTCGTTTCATAGCTCCGCTGGCGTAATCTCTTTTTTTTTACTCATTGTTTTCCTTAAATCACCACTAACACTTTTCCACAAATCACCACTAAACCAAAACACTAGTGGTTTGTATTGTAATACAAAATAATTCACAATCAACTGAAATATGTAAATAACCCCCGCTGTCTTTTAATATATAGAACCTTCGACTAACTCTGGCAATTATCAAATGATTGTATTTTTTCTAACGTCTTTATTTCTGTACCAAATGTTGTACTTCTTGTCCATTTTGGGTCAGTTGTGAAAAATATTACTTATTAAAAGAAATCCCTGCTGTTCGTTTGTCGCTTGTCAACATATCATTGTATTTTGGGTACGCATAACTGTACATTGTTTATTGAGGGTTTTTCATTGATTATTGAGGGTTAAACGGGGAAACCCCGTAGGCAAAACATGCCGATAATCGATGTAAGTTGTCCCGACAATAAAATGAAATAAATAAAAAGTTTTTCTCAATTTCTGTTAACGCTCGTTGGGGGCCCCCTGGGCCCGGGGGCCCCGTATCATTGATACGGCTGATACGGCGGTAGTTACGCCCCTGTATTAGATACTTCTGTTTTTGCGTTTTCCGTCCGACTATCCGTTTGACAATATGAACAAAATTATTTTTTTATTTTTGAGGTTGACGATACCGGTCTATGCGATATTGGAATAAAACCTTTACGATTGGGATGTCTGCATTTATTAATTGTATGCCCATTTTCTTACAATAACTATAAGTCTTAGAAAAATTATTTGGGTTATATTTTGTTCTAAAAAAAACAGTTATTAGCGTTGTGCCCTATTTTTTCACATAATTCACAATTTACGCCAATGTGAGATGAAAGTTTTAAATCTTCAGTTATTGCAAAGTTGATAGCATCGTTTAAGTCATCGAATCTACATGATTTAATTAAAATTTTTAATGGAATTTTGATACCATCGAAAAAACTTCTAAGAGCCGTCTCCGTATAAACAATTTGTAATCTTTCCGCTATTACTTGCCCTTAACAATCGCAGTCTTTGTTATACATTTTATGAACTCTATCCAAAATTCTGTCGCCAAAAGATTTTCAGTTTCTACCTGTTTCGACCCGTATTGTCGGATAAGGGTCGATTTATAAAAGTTTTATATAAATGGTACCAACAAACAAGATTAAATTACAAACATATTTTAATGAAAATGTGTTAAACATAAAATATTATAATAAATACCTAATAGTTCTTAACACCTCTCTTGCAAAAATAAAGCCGTCCTCGGCGTATTATACAAAGAAAGATTAATTTTACCACTTTAGAATACAAAATACTTATTGAAATATTAAAATATTATAAACATTTACAATAATATAACGGTTACATATCAAAATTATTAAATAATTTATGAAATTTAAACTTAGCATTATTATTTACACTTATTATATGATTATTATTATTGATCCACTTATTCTATGATTACTTCATTTATTTTATTTTCTAACTGTTTGATAAAGATTGCGAAAATCAGGGGTCTTTTAATCATTTTCTGTGAATGTTTTCAGTTTATTATTATGGACTTGTACCGGCTTATTATGAACTAAAATCGTACTATTAATATTATCGGATTTTAAAATTTTAAAAGGCCTTTCCATAATGGTGAAAGCTTTCTACATCTCCGCGGATATGGAGTTTCGTCTCTTAGAAGAACAAAATCATCAACTTCGAAAGTTTGTGCATTTATATTTTGATTATAATGTGATTTAGTTTGTTCCTTACTATGTATTAAATTTTCACGAGCAAGTTTGTTAGCATGTAGCAATCTGGATTTCAATTCATGAACAAAGAGTCGTAATTATATTGGCATTTGCTAGATTTTGTTAAAGTCAAAGGTAACTCTATTTTTCTACCAAATAACAATTCGAAAGGCGTGTAGTTGGTCGCGTTATGAATAGTGGTGTGTTAAGAACTATTATGTATTTATTATAATATTTTATGTTTAACACATTTTCATTAAAATATGTTTGTAATTTAATCTCGTATGTTGGTACCATTTATATAAAGCTTTTATAAATTGACCCTTATCCGACAATAAGGGTCGAATTAGGTAAAAACTGATTATTATTGAGCGAGAGTTAGTTATGTTTGAACCGCCAACAAGGACAGATTAAAAATATCAACACCCAATAATGTAAGTTACATTTATAATTAAATCTATAAATCTTAAAAAGTGTTTGTTTTTACATATCAAGAAGAAAACCAATAATTACTATTTTTATATATATATATATATATATATATATATATCATATATACATATATACATATATATATATATATATATATATATATATGATAAAATTGTTTCTTGGGCATCCATCCAGTAATTAAAAAGAGTTTTATTGAAGAAAAATGTTTTTATTCAGAGAACATACGTTTCGAATCTTGATTTGACCCATCTTCAGTGCTATAATTAAATATTTCAGGGTTACAATTTAAAACAATATAAAAAATACATAATTACAGACAAAAATAAATAAAAACATGTAAAAAAAACATAAATGTAACCAATTTAATAAATTAGTTTCAAAACAAATATATATTGTGAAAGAATATATGAAAAACAACCATAAAATAAACAAATGTTAAGAAACTCACCATACAAATAAATTTGACATTTCTAACATTCATCAACATAAAAAATTACTCAAAGACATCCACTTTTGCAAATCCTTTATCAAACAACACCCAGAAATTGTTGTTACCAGGACAGATAAGGGTAACATCACGCTTATCATGAATTAAGTTGACTATATTTCCAAATCCATGTCCCTCCTAGCTGATGTAAACATTTACGAACCTATAAATTCAGATCCCACTGACCTTATAAATCGGAATACTTTGAAATTCATTGATTCACTCATAGGAAGCAAGCAAATTCCCAAACCCTTCTCTCTACAATTAAAAACCTACAATCTCATTTCCCCAAAACTTTATTGTCTTACCAAAATCCACAAAGATGGTTTTCCTCTTCGACCAATAGTTGCTGACTTAAATTCCCCTCTTTGCAAATTATCTAAATTTATTAGTTCAATTTTATCCAATATCACTCATAATTCTCCGCATTTTTTCAAAAATTTTTTCGAACTCATTCCCAAACTTAACTTCCTTAATGTACCATCTGATTTTTTCTTTGTAAGTTTAGATGTTGTTTCCCTCTTCACTAACATTTCACCGGACTTTATTCTCTCTGCCATAGACCATAAATGGGTTGATATCAGCAAACACACAGATTTCAATTTTTCTTCACAGTTTAGTTTAGATCGTCGAGCAGGTAAGATCGAAGAAACAAATAATAGTGAGTGATATACATTGTATACAATGGAATTGGGCCCGTACGGGCACAACGGTAGATTGTTATCGCAAGATAACAATGGGAGTGACATAATAGTGCATAATACGGGTGCGAGCATTGCAAATGCAATGAATGCATCCATTTCAGATGGCCTTGAGTCATCGCAAAAATGTAGTGAAAATAGTGCAATTAAAGAAATTATTAATAATAAACAAGAAATTGATTTATGTAATAAAGCATTAAGTGTAAAAAAGAGTATCGTCAATAAAAGTAAAGTTATTAAAAATGCTAAAACAGACGGAAAGAAGAAAGTTAACTCAGAAATACTAAAAAAATCGATTAAAACGACAGAAAATGTTAAAATAATAAATAATTATAATGAATTTATCTCGAAGAAAAAGATTAAAAATTGGCATGAAAGCATGGAAGCAGACACAGATGAAGAATCAAATTCTATGAACGATAGTGATGAATTAAATCAAAATTCTAATTTAAATGAAATTGATAATAAAATGGTGAATTAAATAAATACGAGTAATATGGAGCAAAGTGAACAATTGTCCGAAAATAATCAGAATGCTGCTATTATTCAAGAAAAAGTTACGATAATTTCCCCAAATAAATATAAAAATTTAAAATATCCCGAAAATGATATCGGACCATATTCCATTTATGTGGAATCCGTGAACAGTATCAGTGGTAACTTAAAACAAATGACAATAGGAAGACTAATTTTTAAAAAAATTCCTCAATTTACAAATTCAATATTAGACATTAAAGCAATAGGAAGGAATCGCATAAAAATAACGGTTAATGACTACACAATAGCCAACTACTTAATTAACAATGATATATTTATTGAAAATAATTTAAAAACTTTTATACCAACACACTTGCTAATTAGGAAAGGGGTCATATATGATGTAGACTCTGACCTAACAGAGGAAGAAATTATTACCAATTTATACTCGGAAGTACCCATTTTGGAGGTAAAAAGAATTCATAAAAAAATTGATAATGAACGCAAATCAACACGGGTTTGCATTGTAACATTTAGACGACAGAAACTGCCTGAGAAGGTATCAATATTTGCAGTAAAATGCAGGGTAGCTACCTATAACAGAATGATCCAGTGTTTTAACTGTCAAAGGTATGGTCACGTGACTAACCAATGCAAAAGCAAAGCAAGATGCAGTCATTGTTCAGATGAACATAAATATAAAGACTGTACAAACAAACAAAAAAATCCGACTTGTGCTCTGTGTCAAGAGGATCATAAAGCCATGGATAAAACATGTCCTAAATATGAAGAACACTGCAAAATAAAAATGACAATGGAGGAAAATAACTTAAGTTACATGGAAGCTAAATATCTAATAAATAATAAATCATATGCTAATGCTGTGGGATTTGATTCCGGAGACAAATCAACATTCCCAGATCTTCCGGCAAAACAAACGGAATGTCTTACGGAAACAAGTCAGACAGGAATAATTAATAATCGAACAATATCTGATCAGAAACAATCTGGAATTAATATTGCGACTAAGTCAACGTCAAAAAATATCACTGAGCGAGAATCAAGAAAAGACTTCATAAGTAATGGGGAAATAAGAAGAAACAAAATGAACAAATCAAATAGTAAAGTACAACAACAAATACCTCGTAAAAAGTCTGACGAAGAAGAGTTTCCATTGAAAAAAACTATTTCAAACATAAAATACCAATTTAGAGAGAAGAAAGGTGATGTTCTACAAATTCTGAAGGATATAGTCCAAGACATCGAAAGTAAAATTAATTCATCTACCAGAAACAATAAATGACATTGAAAATCCTTCAATATAATTGTAGATCATTAGTTGCTAATAAAGAAAGCATTGAATATTTCTTATGGGAAAAGAACATCGCCATAGCCGCTTTTTCTGAAACGTCGTTCAAGCCCGATGTAGAGTAGAAATTCAAAGGATACAAAATATTCAGGAAAGACAGAAATGATAGATACGGCGGCACTGCTATATTAGTAAAAAATAATATAGAATGTGAAAAATATGAACTTATAAACCAAAATGAAAACATGCAAATATGCGCCGTGTTAATAAAAACAGAAATACCTTTTTGTTTAATTTCAGTATACTGTTCAACCAGAGCTGAGATAAAATTTTCTGAATTGAGAAACATAATAACAAATATCTCAGAAAAAATCCTTCTTGTAGGAGACTTCAATAGTCACCACTTGGCATGGGGAAGCAACATGACAAACAAAGCTGGGAAAAAATTATACGAAATGATAGAAGACTATTCATTAATAATTCTAAATGACGGTCAACCGACTACTATGAAAAAAAAAAATCATTGTAATGCTACAAGTATAGATTTATCGTTTTGTTCGAATAATTTCATGGATGCTATCAAATGGGAAATAAGTACAGAAGCATTGGGTTCTGACCATCTTCCAATCATTATAAACATAGATGTGGAATTCCCAACTTACATAAATATTATCCCCACAAAAAAGTGGAACATTAAGAAAGCAAATTGGCAAGGATATGCTGAAGACATAACACGATTGTTACAATCGCCTATATTTAGGGAAAAGGAGAATTTTAAATACGAACATGTAATCCGAATTATAGAAATAGCGGCAGAAAAGAATATAAAAAAATTTAAGATCACAAAAAAAAACGTTATTCAAACCCTCAGTGTGGTGAGATCAAGAATGCGACGCACTCATATCTAGCAGGAAAGAAGCATACCGCAAACTACGCATGCAATACAATTATGAAAACTACATCAACTTTCAAAAAACCAACGCTCTGACGAAAAGACTTTTAAAAAATAAAAAAAGCAAAAATGGATTGAATTCATTAGCTCAATAAATAAAAATTCAAATCCTACTTTAATATGGAATAAGATTAAATTGCTAAATAATAAAAATAACATGATAAATACAGCAAAACCCATATCAGTAGACTTGGGACAAGATATTCTAAAAAACTTCACTCCAGATTTTGCAGTAAATAAACAAATAGAGACAGAAAATAATTCAGATGAGAACAACGAATTAATTGCACCCTTTACTTTAAAAGAAATGGAGAAGGCGCTAAAAAAAAAAAAAACTCTGCTCCAGATTTTGACCAAATATAATATAAAATGATTAAAGAGTCTCCTATCAGCCTAAAGATCAAATTAATAAATATATTTAATGATATAGTTGCAAACAATTGGATCCCTAAAGAATGGAGAAGTGTTATATTAGTACCTTGTCTTAAACCTAATAAAAATCCAACATTACCGATTTCCTATAGACCAATTTCATTACTTTCATGTGTTTTTAAAACTTTTGAAAGAATGTTGAAAGAACGTATAGAATGGTATGTAGAAAATAAACGAATTTTTAACGACGCGATGTTTGGATTCAGAGCAGGAATGGGAACTGTGGATTTACTGAGCACACTGACCAATGACATACACATATCAAACTCAATGAATCATTATTTATTATTAGTATCAATAGACATTGATAAAGCATATGACAATATAGACCATAATATACTGCATACAAAATTAAGAAATATAAATATTCCACAAAAACTAATTAACATAATTCTGACAACAATATCGCAAAGCATGTATACTTAAGACAGGTTGACGGATTGATAGGACCAAGAGTTGCATGTAAAGGAATAGCTCAAGGCTCTATACTTAGTCCTATATTATTTAACATTTACACCGCAGATTTTCATAATATTCTTCACACAAGCATTAAAACATTGCAATACGCAGACGATATCTATATGTACATATGTAGACCGACTTCAACATCGTGTATAGCAGAAATGAATGATGGAATTAAAGACATTGAAAAATGGTTAATCCTAAATAATTTAAATATATCTCAGGACAATTGTGCAGCTACAATATTTACAAGACATCGTTATCCTAGTAGTACAAATAATATAAAAATAAACAATAAAGAAATCACGATAAAAAATAAAATTAAAATTTTGGGCATAACATTGGATACAAAAATGATATTTAATCATCATATTCAGGAACTAAATGCAAAATGCGAAAAAGGGCTAAACATCATTCGTAAAGTAACCAGTACCAAATGGGGTGCTCACCCAGGAGCATGTCTGTTACTATATAAAAATATGATAATGTTACAGCTAGATTACGGATGCTTCATTTATGGTGCTTTGAGGCAAAAAGAAAAATATCAACTAGACAAAATACAATATTCGGCCATTAGGATCTGTTTAGGAGCCATCCGCTCGACCCCAATTAACGCTCTACTGACGGAAGCAGGTGAAACTCCGCTAGATATAAGAAGACGATTATTGGCTAAAAGATTTTTAGTTAAAAAATTGAATAACGCTTGTCATAACATACCAAGGCAACTAGAAGAATTGGCAAGATTACATATAACTAAACCATATTGGACAAACAGACCAACTCCTCCTTTAATAACGAGCTTTTATGACCTTAAACCGTATGAGGAACATGTAAAACTTTGCGAAATCAAACCTTATTACCAATTTCCACAATATTATTCATATAAAAATACCTATGCCAAAACAGATGCTAACTTAATAGAAGAATCTATTAAAAATAATCAAATAAAGAATTGGGAATTTGAAAACAAAGTAAACTCAAAATGGCCCGACCATCTTCACATATATACTGATGGTTCAAAAACGGAAGATGGAACTGGTTGTGCAATATATATACCTAATCACAAATATAGGAAAAAAATTAAACTACCAAAGTTTGCCTCCATTTTTATAGCGGAGCTGATGGCATTACATGTAGCAACAAATTATGTTAGAGACAAAAATGTAAATAAATCGATCATTTTCAGTGATAGCAAATCGAGTCTAATCGCAATAAACAATCCAAGCA